ATTTTTAACCCGCTCTACCGTTACAGTTGGATTCAGGGTTTCCAAACTACAAGCCGTATATTTTCCGCGTACGGAAAACCACATATTTATCTACGGTAAAAAAGGGGGACCATATGAGATTCATAAAATTTAGCAGTGAATTTGATCCATATTGTTAACTTTACAAGCCACATTGGTAAATGCAGAAACATGACGATTTATGAACGGTTATTTCACGGTATTTAAATGTCCCACAATTAGAAACTTTTTAAAAACCGAGTAATGCCCATATGTCGAGTATAAAATTGGAAGAAGACGTGATTTTCAGCCGAAAAAGTAAAAGAATGAATATTTTTATTCATGTTCTCCATGAAATATAATTTGACTTTTAGAGGCATCGAAAATCAATGAGAAAAATCCATGCCATATAAGTAGTCATTTTTTACAGAGTGCAGCTTTTACATGCAGCCGGAAGGAAGTTCGTTCGAAAGCCGGCATCCTGAGGTAACTGAATTATTATCGAATTACGTTGCACGATGATGACATTTGCAACCCCACTTAATTAACCTTTTCGAAGCAAAAACGCATTTCGGAATTTCGGTTGACATTTCATGAGTTAGCCCACCTACTGTAGGTGGCTTTGAAATATTAATTATCATGCGACATAATCCTATGATATTTCGGACTCGCCTGGATGTCGGCCTTCGAGTGTAGTTCTATCTGCGAATGTCTCTGATGATGGATTCGAGTGAGAATCCGAAACGTCAGGCAAATAAACTTCTTGTCCCAGTGATCGCATCTTCATCTTCTGAAGTGTAGTTCTTCTTGACCTCCTGTAGAAGACACACTCGTTAAAAAAGGGCTACTTGAGAAGCATGCATTTTCGCATTGTTTTTCAGCGATATTATAACTTCAAATATGTTTTATAGAGAACATGCAAAAAATATGTTGTCTTTTACTTGTTTGGTATAAAATCACGTTGTCTTTGCATCGTATACCCGAAGAAAGGGTATATTCAGGTTTTGGGAAAGTTCCCCAATTCTCGAATAATTTTGAGCCCTATCAGCCGTTGCATTGGCTTTTAGCGACTTTAGTCTACGAGGGGCATGCTTTCCGCGTAAAAAAATCATATATTCCTCTACGCTTTTAAGAAGATACCATACAGAGTTCACAAAGTTTGACAATGGATGCGGACTATGTGGTACATTGGTAAACGGATAGGCGCGATACGGTATGAATGGTCATTGCACGGTCTTAAAAATCTCATAATGAAAGACCTTTTAAAACCGGAGGACATCCCTCAGCCAACGCGGCAATATCACGAATATGCAGAGCACGAAATGGTGATGATGCGTTCATCCCCAAATTTTGGGTGGAAGTGACTCAGAGGAATCAGCAGTTTTCATGGGGTCTGAAGAACAAGTGCGAAAAAGTCGATGCGGAGGAGGTCACGGACGACCACCTTGTTCCACAAAACGGAAAAAAGACAGAAAACGGCTAGTGTCACTGGGACTCTTGGACGGTATGACTTACAGCCCTATAAGCCTGAGAATTCGACAGAGAAGTAGTACTTTAATTAACTCCAACCTGTGAATTCGAAACCCCGATATTGGACACTATTTTGCCATTGGAAGACGAGGATGACAGGACGAAGATCGCTGCGACAGATGAACCATCCATGAGCCAAAACGTTGAAACTGTGCAAATGTCGAACAACGGCCTCCGCATCACTCGCAGAAGCGGCTGCAGGAGCAAGCGGTTAGCAAATTAAGAAATAATTCCAGGCGAACAAGCTGAGGGGACCGATCAGGCGGCTCAAATATTGCTACGGATGAGAAGGAATTTAGGTAAGTCATCTGGGAAAATTGTTAAAATGGCGGGACACAAAAATTCGAAGTTGGGTGGACACGTGACGTTGAAGAGAAGTGGCAAGAGCGCAGTGCCGCGAGACAGACAAACCGCACCGTCGCGACTTCCGACATACCCAAATTGTAAAGGTTCATTAGAGTCATAGTTGAGTTACTTTAAAGCTCCCTTAATCAACGCAGCAATAGCACGAACACGAAAAAACACGAAATGGTGATGATGACATCCATCACCCAGGACGAGCAACTTTTTGAGTGGGGAAAACTCGGAGGAGTCAGCAATTTTCATGGGTATGAAGGGAAGAGCAAAAACGTCAACGTGGAGGAGGCCACGGACGACCACACCGTTTCATAAAAGGAACTCATGAACGGATAAAAGACTTAAAGCGGTCACGAAATTCGTTCTCTCAAGGATATGAAACTGTTGCTTCGATATTGTCTGGATAGTCGCGTTTCAGTTAAGCATGTAGTGCCACATATACATTTGGAAATAAACTGCTGATGTGCAGAATTTACATGCCATGGAATTTTCTTAAAAGGGACGTATGCCATTGCGTCCTATACAACATATAGAGAGAACAGAATTACCGACATACTTAATTTAACTAACACCATTGTGAAAAAACTGAACGGGATTTAGATCACCGAACGTGAGTGAATGACGTTTGTTAGGTAATAAGGCCGCCGGAAGTTCGACCGTCGACAAGGATATCGGCGCGCTGTTGCGGGGATGGGACCCCGGCGTAGTGTATCGTATCCCGTGCCCAAACTGTCCTTACAATTACACAGGTTAGACTGGATGAATGCTCGGATCGCGCACATATGCACATGAGCTGGCTGTGCGACGGAATGACGTATAATCACAAGTGGATGCCCACACTCTGGAAACGGATCATGAGTTTAACTTCGCAGACACCGAGATAGTCGTCTAGGCAGAAAGCAAAACATGCCGAGAATTGACTGAAGCCTTGGCGAAGAATGAGAACTCATTCAATCGATGCATTGATTTGGCGTTTGCATACAGAACTCTGCGCAGCCACCTCTAGACTCGCATGCTTGATCGTTGACTGGTTAGCATCCCCTATCACTTTCGTTCCTTGTATCTTAAACAATGGGCGCCTGTACGAGTTCGGAAGCTCAGAAAAATAAAAAATGTTTCCGATGATCAATTCGTTTCCCTCCTTACTCATGCACGCACCTGGAAGCGGAACAGTCGCCTCCACTTTTCAAGTTTGATAAAATAGAGGCTAGAGTACGGTATGCAATCCCCTGGGTGACTGTTGACCACCTACTTCCCGTAATCTGATTGGTCATGGCCCCCTACCGTAGTTAACATACACGATCGCAACCGACAGGACAACTAGCCCGCGGTTCGGTGGTTAGGGACGTTGAACTTCTAACCAATAGGTCGCAGGGTCGAGCCCTTGGTGTTCCACATCTCGGGCTTGGGTATGGTTGGCTGAGGACGGCTAATAAGCCAGAAATGGTCATTCTCGTCTCCCTTGTTTTTGCCGGTAACGATATTCAGTCTCTTCCCCTCTCCAGAGCCACTTCGTAGGGCCTACCTCGGGTGGGCTATAAACAAACCAAAAAACGCCGGGTGGTAGAGACAAAAACAACGGAAACGCAATCGTCATCATCATCAGCCAGCCATGTCCCAATCCCAAGTCCAGGTGCCCATCAAGCACTTGAATTAAACGTCCCAAAAAAGGAATCACTGACTCATGTCTCGTCAAACGCTATTTCTAGAACGGGATGCGTTGGACCAAGACCGGGGAGTCAGTTTGCTTCCCGGAAAGGTCTTTGTCGGGCAGGGCGGTCCGCGTGAGCGCATAATTACTGCCGTACAGGGGGGCGGGGAGAGGGGTTGTAGGTATTCATGCAGTTTCGGCCTCTGCGTCCAACCGAGCTAGGACAGTCGACTGGTGCAGGAGGAGAGATTGTGGCCGACACCCGGGAATCCACCCTCATCGCGCATTCCTCACCATGAAAAATCTGACGTGCTCGCACCAATCGCGACGCGCTAAAAGTAATGGCTCCCCAGACTGCCAACTGACCACTTCAATATCCCATGCCTCTGCCGTTAATGTCATTCTGATTGTGCACAGTCTGAGACGCCATTTGCGTCCACATAAGAGATTAGCCAGTCCTATTCAATTTCACATGTGACTATGGTGACGGCGGAGTATTTCAGTCCGGATGGATGGCCGTGACCCGCTGCGCTTGGTTATGCACGGAGCGTAAGACAAGTCAAATGCGGATGATGTGAGCATGCAAAATGGGCCGTACACATACGCACCAATTGTGGACACGTGATGGTGAGCGCGTAGGACGGGGAGTGCATTGCCAGTCGTCGCAGTGCTCCTCGGCTGCAAATCCGAAAGGAAAAAAGGGATCGACTGCACTTTGGGATCGTCTCTGGGAGGACTGATAGCACAATCAAACAGATTTGACAGCGACAGAGATAACGGATGAATGACAGTATGTTATTACCGACAAAGACAAGGGAGACTGGAGTGGCCATTTGTGGCTTATTAGCCATCGTTAGCCAGTCATACCCACCCCCGAAGTGTGGAACATCCGAGGCTCGAACTCACGACCTGTTTGTTAGAAGTCCACGCCTCTAACCGCTGGGCCACGAGCCCGTTGCCCTGTCGGTTTCGATCGGGAATATACACCATTGTACGATACCTCTTCAACTCACCGTCTTGCACCAGAAATGGCCGTTCCAGGCTCTGCTGTGGTTGGGTGTCCAGAATAGTGGACACCTACGGCAAAGCAACTATGTGATGGCATACGGATCTGCGCACTCAACAACGGATCGATCTCGGATTCCCCTACGCTGAAACAGGGTTGTGCCCCCCACGCATATATCAGTTCACAGGATCAAGAGGTGACTCTTTAACGCCCAAAGAATGCGCGCATATAGAAAAGTCACCAAGAATGAATTGCATAAACTGTTTAAACTCTGGTGATGGACATTATTTTGACGTGCTAGACCCGCAACGTGTACGCTGTTTGTCTGTCTAACTAAATCCGACGAACTTTCCAGAGGTAGTAAATCACGAGATGTAGTACAGCGCAGTAGACATTAAAGCGGTTCAAAGTAAACAAGAAAAGGTTGAAAGGAACTAGAGATGACATCAAAAACACATTTCACGCTTCTGTTGCTGAAGCTGCCTTTCGAATGGCTGCTAGGAAAGGATGGTTTTCGCGCAGAAAGATGGGCATGGTTCGGCGGGCGTAGAATTCACCGTCTTGCTCCAGATTGGCGATGACATCTTCAGCAAGGTAAGCCCTGCCTGCCTGAGTACCCCCATCGGGCGCAGAGTCCACATGCGCGAAGTGCATATGCAGTCGGTAGAAGGTGGGCGGGTAGTGAAAGTAGGCAAAAATCTGATCCTCGGCGAGGACTGCCGGCGCCACCGCTGTTTCATCTTTAGTCGTCTCGGTAGCACTGTTGCTGTCGTTGCCGCCGCCGCCGCCGCCGCCGCCGCTGTTGCGGCCATATTTTGCGACGAGAGCGCGGCGACCCTCCGACAGCATCTTTTTCAGCATTGGCAGATGACAAGCCCTAAGATCCCGCAGACAGGTGAGACTGGCTGACCGAGCCAGCGCCAAACAGTGCAGCTCATTCAACTGACGCTCATCCCAGCGGAAGTCAATGGCAAAGGTGAAACCCAGGGATTCATCCGGATCACTGAAGAGCACTTTATCGGCCTCAGCTGTCCCATTTAGAACGTTGTCGACCCAGGTTAGGTCGCGGGGATTGGTCTTCAAGAGGGGCACAATGACGTTGGAGTAGATCTGCGGGGTTTCGAGAACCAACCGGCGTCCGGAAGCGGTGTACTTGATGAAATGCTGCTGCTGAGCGGGGTGAATAACAGTCATATTTAGGGTGTTTAGGTCCTCTAGCCCGGCTTTTACCAGACGCCGATGGTAGATATCATTATCTGTAACCCTTTCCGCCTTCCACTCGGGAAATACTCCTCCCTCTTCCGACCCGTTATGCGCTTCCCCCTCCCCTTGCTTCATGCCTTCAGAGAATGGACGTCCTAGGTGGGCCTCACAGAGTGCCTGCACTTCATTGGGAAAAGGGGTCTTCTGGAGGAGGACGATAGCGTCCTGGTCAGGAGAGTCGCTAAACTTGGCGTGCAAGCAAATCAATTTCCCGAGTTGGTCGTTTAGCAAAACTTTCACGATCTGCATATTAGTCGGTTTGTAAGAGCAAGTCTCCGAGCAATCCTCTCGTTGTTGTGAATGGGAATCACCGTCATCCATAGCGTCGGTGAAGGTATTCTAGGTGAAGAGGAATTGCAACGTCGGATTCTCGGACGCGTGTTTGACGCACAGTATCCAGTGGTGTTGTCAAATATCTAAAATGAAAAACACCACGATCTTTGTTGTCTGGCGCTTACTAGAACTAATGAAATCAAATGTTCAACCAGTCTGAAATCAAATCATGAAACCCAGACAGTTGCGTTCTCATGGGAATTTCTGGCTCGGTCAGATGAGGGGATTGGAAGCAAAGCAGAGACAAATATAGGGGGCGGAACTTTAAGTAGGTCGTAAACGGCTGAGTTGTGTGATTTGAAATTAAGTTTAATGGATACCAGCGGATCCCAAAGAAGATTGCGCTATGGTTTGGAACGGTTGCAGATTAAAAATGCAAGAGGGTTGGTGAAATTATTAACAGCAAAGAGGAAACTGTGAGCACTGGATGCAGGAAACAAAGAACAGGTCTCTCCTGGAGTTTATTCATCACTTGTTTGGCACGAGGTCGCATGCACGGGGATGACAAGCATTTGCTGCAGATTCTAGATTTCTGTGAATTGAATCAGTAGCCTGCTGTCCTCTAAGTTGTGACGGCGACCCAAAATAAATGGATAGTAAGATTACAATATGAAGGGGTAATAAGGTCATACGAACTGATTACCAGTTTGAGTAGCGCGTTATAAACGTAGCTCTACTGATGCGAAGGAGACAAGTCCGCTTCGTGCCAGCCGATAGGCCCGGACGAGTGTCACAAAGCCAGAATAGAGCAAACGCCTCGTCAGATATTGCACCCAGTCTTGACCTGCCCTTGCCAGTGAACGTGATCGGTGTGAGAATAGAGAGGGAGAACTGTTACTGATCTCTGACCGTCTGTCATAGCGGGTGAAGAAGCAGATGGATATAACTCACGAGATACAGTGTAACAAACTGCTAAACGTCGTGGGGAACTATACTCGATATCCCTGGTGTTAAGTTGACAGTGTACTCCCAAATCCACTTCAAGAGGATATTTTAAAAGAAACTACCATCTAAGTAAATGAGACGTCGTGATGTTAGAAGGTAGTTAGTCGCTTTTGTTGTTGGCTGGACAAGTAAAAATGGCCCATTCAATCAGGTGTCCACATAAGCAGATAGCCTACAAGTGCGCTATGGCAACTCTCAATCGTAGCAAATTTAGGCCAACGCAATCTAGGCATAAGCAATGGAGATCAACGATTCCACTAAAGTAAATAGAAACAGGGTAGTTTTGTATTTATACTCGTTCTCAAACGTAGGTTATACGAATATAACAACCTTGAGTCCAAAGCATAGTGTTTCTCCCCAAGAACTGAAAATCCTTCATATAAATCGATCCCTTACACGCAATTGCCGACGGCATTATACACATGGCCGGGTAAAAAAGTACTTATACTATTCGCTATAGCAAATAATCTCGAACAGTGCTGCGCCTGCAATCCTTGGGGTCAAATTCACGACCGTAATAAACTCCACTGCTACATAGTCCCGTCTCAAGGGCGAGATGACGCCGGGGTGCACGGAGCCACGACCCAGTTTGCAGTCGTTTCTAGTTTTATTTTTTTACAAAACAGATAAACAATATCGCAAGTTTCTGCAGTATAGATATTGTGGGTGCGTTCTTTGTGTAGGCCGCCTCATAGGGACAAACAAACAAGAAAATTACTTTCAGTTATTTGTTTTCGGAAGATTAGATTTCAGGTTCAAATTCTAACCAGGTGGCAATTTATATCAACAGGAGATAACGGAAATAACATTTTTCAAGATGTATGTTTTTGGCAAGTGATTGTTCATCCATATTATGCTAACTGACCCGTTTTTGTTTGCTGTTTATCAGTTGCGTTGCGACACCGCGCGCAAACGGGCCGTTATCTCGTGTAAACGGTGGGAAACTTTGGCTTGATTTCACTTTTTGTCGATTACTAATATTGGTTGATCATTTACCACTGTGACACCACTGCTAACAATGTTGAGCGGGAATCTGAGAGAACACGAAGACACAAAATTACAAGGTATGGGGATTAGGCTTTCCATGACGTTTTGGAAACCGTTCAGAAAAAACGCGGGTCGGAAGACCACCTGTTAAGAGCATTAAATAGTTCTGCTTTTTCCGGAATCTGGGGAAGATGGAAGAAAAAATCGTCCCTGGCAAGAGCTGTCGAGCGTATTCACACAGGAGGGCCTGGGGACGAGGAAAGATACAGAGTCGTTATCAAGGAAACAGGCCATGCATACGTTCAGAAATTGTCTGACTGGGTATCGTAGTGCAACATAGCACGCTCTGGCCGAAACGGACAGGACTTTGTAGATAATAGGCCAACGGATAGGTTCCATGTCTGGTAAACCAGACTTCGTTAAGGAGAGTTAACGCCGGTTGGGTAGACAGCTGTGTGAATTGGAGACTCGGATTGTTCAGTAGCCGACAACTACCGGAAACAAAACTGACTCACTGCCTTGGAATTCGGTAGCCCATCCCCCACGTACTGCACCTGCCATCAGGCAGTTAAATGCGTGGCTAATATATGTGGCGATTATGCGGAACAGAGTGTGTTGTCCGTGCACCACCATCGACAGGTCCGATCCCGTCGTTGAGAAAGGAACAGAAGGCCCCGGAATGATGGGTTTATTATGCACAGAACCCGAAGTTGTCGTCTCAGGGCTGGTGTTGACTGTGTCCAGTCACGCCTGAGAGTCCCTGAGATAGTGGTGGCAGCCGCTTTTTTAGGCTCATGGGCCAAGCTCAAGTGGTAGCCAGTCAGTGTGTGTTGCATTTGGCGAGGGGTGGTGTCTCAGTGGCTTAAGTTGTGCTTGCAGGGGGTGAGGTGCGTTCAAGTGGCCGCATAGGCAACTGCGGCTGTGCGGACGCAGGCATGCCCGAGCTGCCAGTCGTGTGACTTCCGGCCAGCGCATATGGAACGGCTCACTGCAAAAGGTTAAGTGGACTTGAGGCAGCGAAGTCTTAAAAGGACGTCAGACCGGTCAAGATAGTTGCCCGCTACATAGACAACAAATTCCGGAGCCAGATGGCGCCAGCTAGGCATTTATTAATTGTCCAGCACATTGGCCTACTTATCTCACATACCTGGGCAAATATGCATAACAAGACTTCGTTAATCATTTATTTTGTGGGATATGCAAGAACGAAAGTGGCGTCAATGTTAACTCTGAAGGCTGCGAAGACCGCTGTATGACCTGAACTGGTCAAAATTATATAGGGTCACAATGTGCACGTACGTCATTAACTGCATAACCACCAATATGTAGAAGCCTTTGTTGTCTAGAATACAAACGATTCGCTGGGTTATCAGATCTTGAGTCAGTTATCTAGCCACTGGCCTATAGGCCAGTGGCTAGATAACTAGAGGACTATAGTCATCTGGACGGATCCAGTAAAAAACTGGCCAGACCAGAGTTTGACACAAAGTTTTGAAGAATATACGACGGGGAAAAGCCAAAAATACAAAACGGTCCACAAATACCACGTTCGACGAGGAAGCAGCTTACCTCCCGCGCAACCTCATGCGGACGCGCAGTTTCTGATTTATACGACGATCGTTTATATTGGGCGCCTTGCCCTTGACACGAGCAAATCACTTTTTGCGATTTGATAATTTAAACTGAACGTATATAGAGTATACCCGTCTTACAAAGTTTCTAGTTATACAAAATAACCTAACATAGTAATAATAAAAACTGAGCAGACAGTTTATGCTGAATCATTTCTATAATTTTATAGTAATCGGGATCAAACTGAATGATTCTCCGAGTTTCGAATACGGCTAATGCACAGGATAAATAGACCTAGACCACAGTCAGGCATTTAGTTCTTATGTCCCCGCCGATACCATTTATCTTTCGCATTCAGGATCAGGGTGGCCACTTTCGGCATGAAACTTTCTGGAAAGTTAATGTCATTTAAGCCTCAACGGTTAGGACAAATTAGCAGATAATGGTCAGTTCCCAGCAATTTCGTGGCTCTACGAAAGGAATCATCCTTCTTACTGTTCCTCCTGGTTCGGAGTCCGTGGACCACACATTTGTCCACAGTCAAATTTAAAGGCCAATGACCTGACAAACTGATGAGTCGGTTGAGACTCTTGAGGCGCGTACCTGCCTGCGTCAGATCTGATGGCCCTCCGAACCTTAACACCGTCAGTAAGCATGTCGGCGTTACATCCCAAATCGTCGATGCAGTCGTTAAGGTGAACTAGGCATATCAACGGCCCTAAGACCGAGTTCTGAGGAAAGCCACTTAGAACGGGGTAGGAGTTGACTTTGAGGCATTAACACGCACGATTTCTGATGTCCATGTAACAAAATTTACGATCTGTGTCAACAGCCTTCCTCTTGTTCCTGTTTCAAACAGTTTGTAGATGAGGCGTTTGTACCGAACGCTGTAAAATGCCTTCTTGAAATCCGTGTAGATAACATCGATCCTATCATTCGCGTCCATTTCTCGAGTCCGCTGCTCGGTCGACGGCAATAAGCCGGAAAGCATGAGCGGTTCCGTCTGAAGCTGTGCTGAATTCTTGATAGTAAGTGGCTCTGCCCCAGAAGTTCTCTTGTCGCCTACTTCGGTAAGGCTTTCATTAATCTACAGTGGACGAAGGTGAGATTAACGGGCCGGTAATTTTTAGCACCAGTGCGAGCCATACCAGTGTATATCGGGTAGATACTTTCCGTCTTCCATTCGGATGGCAGTCGTTCTAATTAGAATGCCGGACAGAAGATGTGTGTTGGGGGTTTGGTGAGTTGGTTTGCCAATTCTATCAAGAATTTGGCCGGTGTATGGTCCGGACCCGACTACTATGCTTCTTTGAGTTTCTGTGGCTCTATTTCCACTACAGACGTCGAGAAGACCATAGACTTAGGCAGGGAACCGGCTGTCTCAACAGCACTGCTGACGTTGTGATTCTGAAGCCTTATTCTCTTGACACTGCCCAAGGGGCGCTATAATAAACCTCTTCTATAAATTCGGAGGCAAAGAACCG